CCAGTTCTCCTATCGGCCGCCTCCCTTATAGAAGCGCAGATCAAACATATCTAATGAGTGATCCATATCCCGGCCGCGATAATGACCCGGCGGCCCGATCGTCCGACATCCCTTAATTATTAACCCGGACGTTTTGACGGCAGGTTTGAAATTTATCCTCGGTTTTTTATTAGTTACCCACTAAAAACCGGTAAATTATCACCCGGCTAACGGAAACCACACTGGTGGTGTGTTGTGTGGTGTGTGGGGGGGGGGGGTGTGGTGTGTGGACGCGTGTCACAAGTATACGGTTAGCATGTAAGATTGGTTTTCATCACTCCAGGTTGAAAAATGTGGCCTTTGTCTGTGTTTTTGTTGTTTGGTACCCTTATTTAACCAGGTGAGAGCCCCCTGAGATCCAAAAATACCATGGAGCCCATGGGGAGCCTGCCTTAGGCCGCAGTCTCAGGAACACCTTTGGCACCCTGACGACACCCCACTCCCAGCCGCCAGGAAGTGGCACGCTACAAATTCCAAAATAAAATCGCCACGATCATAACTAGCGCCACTTCCCAAACAGGAAATCGCACTCAAATACAGAAATAAATCATATCCGTCGACACTTCATTATAGACATATGTATGATTATATAGTACCCGATATTATATCATGACACCTTGGTATGTATTACTATCAGGCTACAGCCACGAGCGCAACTTTCAGAACAGAGGAAAATTGTGTTTGGCACGCAAAATACAAAATAAATCGTGACTGACACTTATGTATAAATACATATGTATATAAAGATATATATTTTATTTAGTATGTATATTAAATATGAACATAATTGCTATTTTAGTTACACCCGCAGACAACTGTGGAGGTGCGTGTCGAGAAAACAACCCGTGTTTTGCCGGGTCACCGCGGGCGGGAGGTGGGGGACGTTCCAGCTGGGAACATCCACCCCGCTGCGGGACCCGTGGGACCCCTGAGTCAGACGGTGCGTCTTGGTCACGCTTCATATCGGCTGGCCCGGGAAGGAAGAGACACGCAGAGTGGGGGAAGTCCCCCACCCCAACGCAGCACACCCTCCTGGCCATCAGAGTCGAACCCGCAGTTCGGAGGAACCGACCGCCAGAGCACCGGCACTAGGCCGGGCCGGTGGGTCGCGTTTGCCATTCGATCAGTGAGAGGAGAGGAGAAAATGGTCAAAATCCGTTAATATATGGATGAGTGGGAGGGGGGGGGGCTGGACACAGGCCGTGGGGGGACACCCGAGACCGGGCAGTGTCCCGGTAGAAACCGGGTGAAATAGCCTAAAAAATAATGAAAACCGGGGAAAAGTGAAAAAAAGTGTCCGAAAATAGGCACTCGTGAGACGGGCAGAGTCCCCTGTCAACTCCCGTGACATTCCTCCATGGTGTCATTTGAGCGAAAAATGGCTACGTCAACTATTACGAGAACCAGGCTGGGGGGGTCAAAAGGGCTTGACCAAGGCCGACCCAAAGTGCACGGTGGGCGGACTCATCACCTCCGCGGTGAGTCTCCATTGTGATTTGAAAACTTCCATCAAACGAGTCTTTCGGGGGGCGGGGAAAAAACGTGTTCGTCAGAATCGTCACTTCCTGTACTGACAGTGCAGGTGTCCTGAGAGTGCAGCCTACACCGGAACTGTCCTGAGAGTGCAGGCCTGCAGGCGACCCCTCTCAACATTTCAGCGATTCATGCCGGATATGTACATTATAGGGCACTGAAGAACGATGCTGTTCCTACTTTGTTTGGACCAGCGGGAGATTCGGGTACACAACCTGTAAGTATTCATTGTTGTTTGTGTATTTATGATGTTTAAAACAAACAAGGTATCTACCACGACTGTTTAAATGGATAAACGTTTTTCGGGCTACTACGTTGTGATCGCGGAGAAATGCTCTCCGCAGACCCATTCTCACAGCGTTATAAACCTTTTTCTTACTCAATATCAAGCCACACTTATTGTTTTTACTTCGGCTGTGAGTGGTTGTGTGTGCTCAGGATGAGTTTAGCTTGTTCTCGCTGTATCGTCGAGAGGCTCGTTGCTGCGACAGGCTTCCGCTCCTCGCAGCAGATTGCAGCAACGAGCCTCTCAACGTCCCGACCAATCAGAGCACACTGGGCTCACAGGGAGGGGGGGAGCAGGAGCTCCAACAAGCCGTTTTGGACAGAGAGTGCATACCGGTGAATACACATACTTTACAGAGATGCTGTATAAATCTATTTGAGTATACCTCAACAATGGAATTATGATCAATAGAAATGGCCATGACATGGGACCTTTAATAAAGATGAGCCCATACCAAGCGTCAATCGGTCCAAGCTGTTGCAGACTATAGGTCACTTTCTTGGAATCACTCTCTTCCATTCCATATCATCATATCCACAATCAGGGGCAGTGATGCTGCAGGCGAGGATGCAATCATTGCTGTTAAAGTCAATTTAAAAAGCGCCATAAAAAGCATGAATGAGAAGGAGATGGTGCTCTTTTGAGGTGTACTCCACAAAACATCAGTGTGCGGCTCACAGATGCCTCCTCTGCAGGGAAGCACTGAAGTCTGCAGCGCCAAGGCCAATCAGTCATGGTGAACATATGCCAGCTGAGTGTTTATAATCGGAGGCTTCATCTCCATGCCTGTCAATTCTTGCGTGGCCCTGATCACAGGATCCCTGCTATGGGAGTGAGGCCCAAAGGCCATGCTTAAACACCCAAATCCTTTACAGGACCCGGTAATTATCCAACACGGTTCTGCAGGCCTCTTTGATCTGCAAGTGGATCAATGGCGGGATCACAGTGGTTGGATGACTAGTCGCTACCCCAATATGTGTGTGCATGTACACTCATTGCCTGTTCTGCATTCTTTAATATGTTTTTTCTCATAAACCTCATGGATATGAAGTTTTTAGTGTTCATTTATTCACAACAAACTATACTATTCAGTGTCCTCGTGAGGAAGAATACAAATGAATTTCAGATTTCCCCCGTGTAATCTTCCACCACCTCTGCTGCCGTCAGCAAAAACAATTCATGTGTTCCTACTCGCTAATCATCTTAGGTATGTAGATAATGTCCGTGTCCTATAGGTAATTCACTGTCTATCTGGGGAGTATGTGTTCATATACATGCGCTACACTGATATGAGGCGGATATTGGCCTTCTATGGAAGGCTGTGCTGCAAAAGGACAAAACAAAATCCTGCAACATCGCTGCCGCTGCCGAAACACTGCGACTAATGTACTGACAGTGAGCAGGCTTCTTTGTTTAAGGAAAAAACAATAAGAAGATAATAAGGAACGGAACAGTTAATACCAGTCTTCACCAAGCTTTTATGTTGCCTTTTTGTTATGTTGACAGCTCAGAAAGTGCTTTGTGTAAGAGAAATCAAAGAGATAAAAGGACAAAATGCTACTTATTATGCATCACAGTTGAAGTTAACAAAAAGTGTCTGAGTTCTAATAATCACAGTAAACCAAGAAAGAATCCTGGATGTAAAAAAATTAAAACTGAGTGATGAGCCGTACCTTATCGCGTCCCCAAGTTGCAGCTTCAAGACTAACTTATATCCAGCCTGTGTTTTCATCGGCTGTTTGAAACAACCCTTTTCTTTTACTCGATCTTCAAGTATCCTTGAAAGCGAAAACCTCCATGTTCAAGTTCAGACAGTATTCCATCCATATGAACTCTAAGGCCTATAGTGTACACCTCCCTCTATCTGAAACATTTGCCCGTTTATCTAGTTTCCCACAGTTATTGTGTTAAATAGGGCTGCCTAATCTACTATATATCTAATGATTAATAAAATTGCATTAAGGGCAACATATGAGTAAATATTATAATGAATTATGAATGCTGCAAAGCGCCAGCGCCAGGCCTAAAATCAACTTCTCCAGACTTTCTATTTAAAATGACTTTATGATCCCTTTTCATATATTGTTAATTGATTTTGAGGATAATGATGGCAAGTTATCAATCCCTCTTTTTAGATATTTGCTTTTAGAACGTTTTATCAAAATCGAGCAGCCCTAGTTTTACATACACTTTAGATTTGTATCCATTTCTACTTCATGTTTAACGCTGCCACGTGTACATACTGAATAAAGCTAAATATAAGCAACCTTTCAATTCATGTATAATGTTATAAGGATGTGTTTAATTCGACAGTAGTTTCGTTTATAGCCACAACTTGACACTGACGGGCCGGATGCAGGTAATTGTAAAGCTGTCGTCCCACCTTCCTCCTCTTTGGTTCTTCATGTTCCACCCAAGCACCTGTCAATCATCCTGATGAGCCGTCACCCTCTGAGAACCTTAACGAGTATCTGTCAGCAGGGAGACGGCAAAGAAAGGCATTTTAAGGGGAAAAAGAAGAAAACATATATATATGGCACTGACAGACCTAAACCAAGAACAATTATAAATATATTGTATTAATTTGCAACTGTTTTAGAACTTTAGAGTCGTAGAATATCAGTGTTAAATATTGGCCTTTTTGTGGAAGACCCCAGGCTCCTATAGTCCACTCCCCACATCCCCAGGCTGTGGACGGCTGACACGCTGGATGCAGATGTGTGTTTATTTAAGAACTCAGATGGAGTCAATAGTCTCTTAACGTGGGCCTGCTGATCTGCTGTTTGAGCAAACACAAACCGTCTCCTCTGACAGGGGAGATAAGACGAACACAAAGAACACGGAGCACTCCCGATGACTGACTGACATTTCACAGTGTACTGTACGTGTGGAGAGAGGGAGCGATGTTCAGGGGAGGAGAGCGTGTGTGGAAGAAAGGCAGAAGAAAATGTTCTTTTTCACTTCTGAACAGTCACGGCAGAAGATTCCTCTGTTGTCTTCTCCTCCCCCTCAACTGTTTTTACTGTCTTTCTTACGGAAATCTCTCCTCTCTTTCTTCCTGTCTTTCTCCACGCTTGTCCTCATTTCATCTCTACTCCCCTTCCTTTCCCTCTCTCCTTTTTCGTGTCCTTTTCTCCCCTCTTGTCTCTTTCATTGTCTCTCTACTGCCTTCCTCTTTCGGCTCTTGTACAACTTACTTACCTTCTTTTCTTTCCTCTCCTTCTCCATTCTACACTTGCCCTCCATCTTGCCTTCACGTGTCCATCATTTCCTTCTCACCTCCACCTCTCATCTTATCTAATCAACTGATCCTGTCCCTATCCTTTCCTCTCCTCTCATGTCTTTTCTTCCCTTTCTCTTCACATTTTTCTCACTGTTCTTTCACCTCCTCTTGTCATCTTATCTCATCGCCTTTTTCTCGCATACCCTCATGTCCTTTCCTTTCTGCTTGTCATTTTCACAATTGTTCATCTCAATGAACCTCTCTTCTTAACTCGCCTCTTACTTTGCTTCTTTCACTGTCTCTCCTTTTATTCGATTGCCTCCTCAACTCTGTCGTCTCCTTCTCTTTTCTACTTGATTTTCCTTTTTCTTCCCCTTGTTTTCTCTCTCCTCTCCTCATCTCCTCTTCATTGAAGTGATCGTCACCGAGAGCCATGTTGATGTTGCGGCTTATATAAACTCCTCTGCGAGGGGATGAGATCAGAGCAGCCAGGCGGTGAGAACAGACTATCCGACACATTGCGCTTAACATGCACCAAATGAAATAAACAGCACCTACCCTTGTGACGCTGGAAAAAAAAATCCCCCCACCCATACATCGTTCTTGCGACTGTGACTCCCTGCATCCCTGTGTAAACATCTTCTACGTGGTATACAACCGTGCTGAGGTCAGAATCAGATACGGAACCTTTACCTCATTAAAAAAGTCACCAGAGAGAAGTAAGTGACAGAAAAAGTCGTGGCTGTTCTCGGCGAGCTTGTTATGTCTAAGTGCAACATGGCTGATTGGTGTTTAGTCCTGAGAAGGCGGCAAAGGGCAGCAACAACCTCCAGCATGCACCTCCATAATTGCCATGAAAATGTGGTGTACCTGGAGGTTTTTTTGTCCTTTGCCAAATAAACTCAATTAGGTCTAGTTCTGAAAATTACACCAGAAGACTTTTTTTTCGCCCCGTGTCTTAGCCAATCTTGGGAGTAATGTCTAAAAAGAACGGTTTGTCTCATTTGAAAGTGTGGTGGCAGCGTGGGTTGCCGGGTGCTGGAGACTAATTGCCAGCTCATGGCAGCTCCCCACTTGATTCAGC